AAAAAAAAAAAAAAAGAGAATGAGATGAGAGCAAGGTGCTCGGCCTTATACCATCAGGCTGGAGTAGGAAACTGTCTCTAGCACGAAGCCAGACGTAATGTGATATTAGGGGGCTTTTATCAAGGAATTGTAAGGAATGTTTTCGGGGCTGAGTGAAGATGGAGTAGGAAGGCAAAAATTAAAGTGCTGACAATTAGGATCTAGAAATCAAAACATTAGAACACCTGTAAAGAGGTGGAGATGGGGAAGCACTATTGTGTTTCTGAGAAAGGGCTAATGGCCATTCAGCATTCAGAGTGTCTGTGCCCCTAGTGAGTAACTGGGTGCCTCCTGCGTGGTGCATGAGCACAGAGGCCCTTGGGGAGGGGCAAGAAGAGGGGCCCACCCAGCCCACTCATGGGCCACTGCCCCACAGGCTCATGGAAGCTGGGGAAACAGCAAATGACTCTCTCTCTTTCTGACTTCTGTCTGAGTAGCCCAGTCTTTCTAAAGCAATCTGGGGCCAGGCATAGTGGCTCACACCTGTAATCCCAGCATTCTGGGAGGCCGAGGCAGGTGAATTGCCTGAAGTCACGAGTTCGAGACTAGCCTGAGCCAGAGCAAGACCTCATCTCTAAAAATAGCCAGGCATTGTGGTGGGCGCCTTGTAGTCCCAGCTCCTCCGGAGGCTGAGGCAAGAGAATCATTGAGCCCAAGAGCTTGAGGTTGCTGTGAGCTGTGACATCACAGCTCTCTGCTGAGAGCAACAAAGTAAGACTATCTCAAAAAAAAAAAAAAAAAAGATGATTTTCTTAGAGCAATGCTAAATCTGCAGAATTCTAAGTACCAGAATCTCAGAATTTTGAAGAGCCTGGTAGTTCCAACCTCCCCCCACACACACCAGTTCAACACTCGCACCACCTCTGCACTCTCCAGGGCCATCCACCCTCTGTGGGACCCTTCCTTCTCCTCAAGGCAGCCATTTGGTTCCTGGGAAGCTCTGTGGGAAATGCTGCCTTGGACTGACAGCTCCCTGGGCTTCTGCACACAGAGCAGCCTCCCTTCCCTGCACCAGTTCGTGAACCCTTGAGGCTCCCCCAGTGTCTTCCCCAAGCAGGATGCCTGACCCCTCGCTTATTAAATAGTTTTAAATTCCTCATTGAGGGCGTCGCCTGTGGCTCAAAGGAGTTGGGCACTGGCCCCATATACTGGAGGTGGCGGGTTCAAACTCAGCCCCGGCCAAAAACTGCAAAAACAAAAAAATTAAATTCCTCATTGAATTAATCTTCATTCTTTCCCTGGCCTCTTGAAAGTAAGTCCTTCAAACCTGTGAGGATCACCTTCCAGGCCGACATGCAGCCCACATCTCCTGAACCTCCTCTGATGTGACTTCCAGTCCCTGTGACATCCTGCTCTCTTCTTCAAATGGGGATCTCTGTTCCTCCAAGCAGAGTCCAGGGCACAGCACGGACTGCTCGTCAGCTGCGGGGAGAGCCGGTGGTTTCTCGCCGGAATCCAGATACGCTCAGAGTGCTGCATTTTCCTCCCGGGAGAGAGGAGGCCAGTGCAGTGAGACTTACTCTTAATGCCCCTCTTGCCAAAGAAGGCAGGAGCAACATTGAGAAATTCTGCTTTCTCTCTGTTATTGATAGAAGGTCACACCATCTGCTGCAGATGGCAGTAGTATCCCCTGTTGCTTTTTTTTTTTTTTCCTGTCAGAATAAAGAGTGTAATTGTCCTAGCATTTCCCATTTCCCTGCCTGGATCTTAGCTCCCCTAGGCCCCTCGCCTGCCTGTGCTCACCGGTCCTTGCTGTCCTGCCCCCTTCCTCTTTGGTAACAGCCTCCCCTTTGTGGGACTCCTTGTAGGATGGCAGCTTAGAGCGCATCCTGTTTCCTTGTGTTTACTGTCCTTACACTCTGGGAAGGCCTGGATGACATTTTTTGTTGTTGTTGTTAGAACAACTCAGCAAAATAAAATTCCGGTTTTTTGTTGGACAACATTGTTTCACACATACATCAAACAGGCCAAAATAAATAAATAAATAAATAGCAACTTCATAGACAAAGAAAAGGAAGAAACCTTTTATATTTGGCCTTTTTAACCATCTCATACAAACCAACTACTTATAGTACAGCTAAGTACATACACAAAAAAAGTTACTGGAATGCTCAGAATAAGATTTTTTTATTGTTGTTTCACTTTTTTAACAAGGTTTTTTTCCTCCTTTGAGGCTATAATGAACATGGTCACACCACAAGTAAAGTCAGAGTCAGAAGCAGGACAGAGACCTCTCTGAAGGCTGGTCTGGTCATCCGAGATCATTAAAGATGGCTCACCCCTAACAACATGTACAAAAATATAAATGTACATAAAAAATACAAACAAATTTCCTTTTTTTTTTTTTTTTTTTTTTTGAGACGGAGCCTCAAGCTATCCCCCTGGGTAGAGTGCCATGGCATCATGCTCACAGCAACCTCCAACTCCTGGGCTCAAGCGAGTCTCCTGCCTCCGCCTCCCAAGTAGCTGGGACCACAGGCGCCCGCCACAACGCCCGGCTATTTTTTGGTTGCAGCCGTCATTGTTGTTTGGCGGGTCCGGGCTGGGGATTCGAACCCGCCACCTCAGGTGTACGTGGCTGGCGCCTTAGCCGGTTGAGCCACAGGCGCCGAGCCCAAATTTCCTTTTTAAAGTAGTTATAAGAAAAAAAGCAGGGCCGTGGAAGTTTTGGTTCTTTTTTCCTCCCCTGTTGCAAATTCCCGTGGTTTGGGTTGGGTAGCGAAGAGCACATGTCACCTGCGGGTGGCCCTGCCTGCGGTGGGCGGGCCTCTCCACTGAAGGTGACCACGTTTAGATTCTGAGATGGGAAGTGGAGGGTGAATAGGTCACGGTGGCCTTTTTTTCCTTCCTTTTTCGCTGTCTAGTCATCTCCTCTGTCTTCTGCTTCTTGGTATCAACATCCTCGTCCTCATCGCTTCCGCTGCCCGTTTGCCGGTGGTGGCCTCAGCTTTCTCATCACCTTTTTCCTCCTTCTCCTCCTCTTCCTCCCCACCTCCCCACCTTCTCCCTCTTCTTTTTTTTTTCTTTAGAGACAGAGTCTCACTTTATCACCCTCAGTAGAGTGCCATGGCATCACAGCTCATAGCAGCCTCCAGCTCTTGGGCTTAGCCTCTTGAGTAGCCGGGACAACAGGCACCGCCACAACACCCGGCTATTTTTTTGTTGCAGTTTTGGCTGGGCCGGGTTAGAACCCACCACCCTCGGTATATGGGGCCGGCGTCCTACTCACTGAGCCACAGGCGCCGCCCCTTCTTCCTCTTCTTCATCTACCTCATTGTCAGCCTCCTCCCCATTTTCCGCATTAGCCTCCACATTAGCAGGGGTGTCTCTTCTGTTCTCTGCCTCGTCCACAACTTCCTTGTTCTCCTTTAAGTCCCTGGTGGTGATCTCGGAGCTGGTGTCCACCGCTGCGTCTGACATGGTGGGGCATGTTGGTGATCCGGTGTGGGGGATGGAAGAGAAAGTGAGAGTTCGAGAACTCTGGCAATAAAGTTGCCGGAGTCCGGAGTCCGCAGTGGAGGAGGTGGTTGTGACCCAGGAACAATGCAAAGGTGGCTTCTCAGGGCCTAGATGACATTTTTTAAGGCCTCTGTATTCTCTTCCAAGTCACCTTTACTTTCCTGAGACCCTCCCTGGTTTCCGCCTCTCTCTGAACCTCTTGGAATGTGCCTTCATAAGGGGCCTGTCTTGCGAGACTGCTTTTCCATCCCCAACTACTGTGAAATGGCACGTTCACTTCAGCTCTCCTTCTCTGGCTGACATTGCTGCTCTAGGTCAAAAGTTTTCCTATAACCACACAGGACCAAAAGTCACTGTTGAGTGTCAGCACTGCAGGGCTAATGAGGCCAGCCTCTCCCGAGATGTTCCCAGATCGGATCAGATTTCCTGCAGCTCCAGACTAAAAGCATCTGCAAAATGGTCCCGGGGTCAGTGATCCGCAGCACCAGCACTGTGCCCACCTCCGGGAGGAGCTTAATCAGCATCGCTGACATACTTTCCTCTGGGAAGGGGGTGTGACTTCCTAATCAGGCAGAGCTAGACCTGAAGAAAATGAAGTGTGTGACCTAGGGTGGATTGCACTGAAGATGTCACATGTCTGAGGAGGCTCTTACACTGGGATCCTCCCAAGTGCTTAACTCATGGTGGTTCTTCAGTTCTTATGAAGTGGCTGACAGCGCAGGTGATTGCTCATCCAGGGTACCCATCTGCAGTTGGCACCTGGATTGTTCAGGTTGATGGAGGTCTCAGCTGCTGAGGCTGTAGCACCTGGAAGACATGATTTCTTTCATGCAGCAAAGGAAGAGGGGACAGGGTGGGCCAGGCACAGGCAGGCCTTAGAAATAGAAGGCCTGGCTCGGCGCCTGTGGCTCAAGTGGGTAAGGTGCCAGCCACATACACCTAAGGTGGCGGGTTGGAATCAAGCCCGGGCCCACCAAACAACAATGACGGCTGCAACCAAAAAATGGCCAGGCGTTGTGGTAGGCGCCTGTGGTCCCAGCTACTTGGGAGGCGGAGGCAGGAGACTCGCTTGAGCCCAGGAGTTGGAGGTTGCTGTGAGCTGTGATGCCATGGCACTCTACCCAGGGGGACAGCTTGAGGCTCCATCTCAAAAAAAAAAAAAAAAAAAAAAAGAAAGAAATGGAAGGCCTTAGAAATGACACACTTCCTGTCTGCTCCTGTGTCACTGGCCTGACTTAGTCACCCTCCTTGTTCCAGAGGTCGTGGCCCCAACATGAGCAAGAGTAGGGAAGGGCCTCCAAAGTCACCGTTGTGCTCTTGCTCACACAGGTACTTTGATGAGCCACTGGAGTTAAGGACCAGTTCATTTTCTAGCTGGGATAACGGTTCCGATTCGTACTGGAAGAAGGAGACCAACAAAGATACTGACGCAGTTCTGAAAACCACAAGCTACTCAGACAGGTATGGACAGCACACTCTGGGGTTCCAGTGGTGAAGCCACACATCTCTAGAGAAAATAACTGATACACGGAATATGAAAACCTTTTGTAAGACTAGCAAATAGTTTTGTTGTGCTATTTCAGGCATATTCTTTTTCTTTTAAATGAGTGATTCTAAAGTGAAGGTGCACACAGGAATCCCCCGTGAGCCTTTTAAGAAATGGCATTTGGAGGCCTCTTCCCATATTCTCTGACTAGGTCAGGGGTGGCCTAGGCCAGGCAGGTGTCACTTTCTCCCATTTTAAGGTATTATTAACACATAGTAAAATTTATCTTTTGGGGAGTTCTAATTCTGCAGGGTTTTTTTTTCTTTTTCATGTTGACACTAATCCAGAGTAATTTTTTCTTTTTCATATGGTTCTGCAAGTTTTAAGGAGAACACACAGTCACATAACTAGCACCCAAACCATGATACAGAGCATTTCCATCACCCCACAAAAATCTCCTGTGCCCTTGTAGCCATCCCTCCCCTCCCCCAGTTCCTGGCCACCCCTGGTCTCTTTGGTGGCCTGTGATTTTGCCTTTCCCAGAATATCACATAAATGGACTCATACAGTAGCCGGCCTCTCTGGTGCCTGCTTTCACTTTTTGTAGAGCGTTGGAGAGCCTCAGTCGTGCTGCTGCACTCACCCCTCTAAGTCCGTTTCTGTGTCCTCTGTGGAAGGGTTGCCTCCAGTTCTTGGTGATTATGAATGAAGGACCATGTAATTTACTGTCCAAACCAGGGAACCTCTGAGACTACAAGGGGATACTACAAATATGCTGGGATAACAGGCGTAACCTGAGATTGTCCCGGGTGACTGGGATGTACAGCTGCTCTACGCATTTTACATCCGTGTAATGTAGAGCAGTTTCTACAGGTATTACAGTGTAGTCAGTATTTATTAGTTGATTTGAAATATGAAATAACAGACCCATTCTGAACAGGAAATCCTTTGACTATCGTGTGGTTTGGATATTCCTTTTTTATTAGAGTTTTCAGGCTTTTTAAAAAGTGACTCAAAATCCTTTTAGAAAATTCACTGCTGTTGGCTTTTGACACCCCATGTTCTCAGTGATAAGTGGGAGCAAAATAACATGCACACGTGGACACGGAGAGGAACCACAGACACTGGAGACTTGTGCTCAGGGGAGGCGAGGGATGAAAAATTACTCAGTGGGCACAAGTGTACACTGCTCGGCGATGGTCACACTATAAGCCCAAACTTCACAGTGACACTATATCTGTGTAGCCAAAAAAAAAAAAGAAACTCACATGCTGCGTACAGTATAAATGAGAATCGCACTGCCTCACCTCACATTAACCTGCCTTGGCTGGTGTTCATTGTAGGCCTGCTGCTCGCCGCAAGCCGGATTATGAACCAGTTGAACATACAGATGAGGCCCAGAAGAAGTTTGGCAACGCCAAGTCCATTTCATCAGACATGTACTTTGGAAGACAAGCCCAGGCTGATGTAAGGGTCCAGAGAGTTTCCATGGGGCCCCCCAAAGCAGGAAGGGAGCATGGGTATGGGCATTGTGGAAGGAGGGGCCTTATGAGAGACAGGCTTAGGCTGCCAAGGCCCCTTTCCAGAGAGCACCAGAGGCAGGACTCAGACCCAGGTCTGTCTGAGTGATCCCCGACTTGTTGCCTTGGCAAGAGGAGTGCTTGGGAATTGGAACCACGTCTCATCTCATTCACTCTCAGTGTTCGTTATGGCCATTATCTTCTGAGCAGATTTCAGGCAATTGCTGATACAGTGATGCAGCTGTGATTTAATAATTTTTAAACAAAGTTAAATGAAACACAGGTTTTCCTTTTTTAAAAATTTATTTTAGGGCAGTGCCTGTGGCTCAAAAGGGTAGGGCACCAGCCTGATATGCTGGAGGTGGCAGGTTCAAGCCCAGCCCTGGCCAAAACAAAATTATTTTATTATTATTATTTACACAGGCTTGTCTCAAACTCCTGGCCTGAAGCAATCCTCCTGCCATGGCCTCCCCAAATGCTAGGATTACAGGCATAAGCCACCACATTACCAGGTGTTTGGGGGGAGCACATGTATTTATTTTCAGGCTGTCACCTTTTCTCAGAAATGTTACTGAGCTCATCTTAGTGGAGTCTTACTAAGTGTTAAGACTTGAGTGGTGGCTTGGTGCCTGCGGCTCGAGTGGCTAAAGTGCCAGCCACATACACCTGATCTGGCGGGTTCAAATCCAGCCTGGGCCTGCCAAACAACAATGACAGCTGCAACCAAAAAATAGCCAGGCGTTGTGGCGGGCGCCTGTAGTCCCAGCTACTTGGGAGGTGGAGGCAGGAGACTCTCTTGAGCCCAGGAGTTGGAGATTGCTGTGAGCTATAATGCCACGGCACTCTACCCAGGGGGATAGCTTGAGGCTCTGTCTCCAAAAAAAAAAGACTTGAGTGATGGAAAGGTGAGAGGTGCCCCTCCTACCAAAGCCTGGCGTCCTCATGCGGACTCCCAGGATGTGCGTGACCACCAGCTTTGCCCACTGCGTGGGGAACGGTTTCCTAACATGTGCCAACTGTGCTTTGCAGCAGGAGAACTTTCACCATCATTTTGAGGATAGAGTTGTTGGCCACTCTCCTCACTCCTACAGTTGGCCTTGCTTTAATGTCGATGGCATTCACATTCAGTTATCAAATAGTGTAGTGGAGCCTGGCAGAGAGCCTGCGGTGGCCTTGCCTAACAGCTGTGGGGAGCAGCACCAGCAGGCAGCCGCCATGCTCTCTCCATGGTACCGACCGTGACCATTGTTGGCTGTGATGTTTTGTGCTAATCTGTCTGGCTGTGACCTGCCCCCCATCCATGACATGAGCCTCATGCTCTCCCCTGGGCCTGGCAAGGGGACAACATTCAGTAACTCTTTGAGGGAGAAAGCCTAGGGGGGACAAATATTTTGAAATGACAGCTCTTTGGTGATTGTTTTTGTGAAAAATTGCTCATGATGTTTGGCTCCTCGTGTTTCTTTTTGTCTTCCCTAGTACGAAGCCAGGGCCCGGCTGGAGCGGCTATCGGCAAGTTCCTCCATCAGCTCAGCTGATCTGTTCGAGGAGCAGCGGAAGCAGCCAGCAGGTAGTGCTGGGCCGGGTGAGGGTGGGCTGCCTCGTGCCTGCGGTGAGCACGCCTGGATAGAACTGCTCCTTTTCTGAGATATTCTAGCAGCCACTATTCCATGCTCTTATCTTTGCTGTCCGTAGGGTAGAACAGAAGTTATTCTTCCATGTAAGGAGACCAAGCCAGGAAATTTAAGCAATATCCTGACGTTACTGCAAGTCATCTTCCTGCGATGCTGTCGTAGATGAGAGTTTTCCACCACAGCGTGCATGTGGTGTCAGGTCCTGTGTAGTGTCTTAGCCTTGGAGGTGGGTAGCCCTAGCCGCCCTGTGATGCCAGCCCCTCCCTAGCTGCAGACTCTGGAAGAAGTCTTGGCACTTTTAGCCTGACTTTCCTCCTCTGTACAGTGGGGGGCTGATGCATGGGGCCGTAGTGAGGCTTGGAAGATACTTGTATGTACGATGCTCCACCAGCAAGTGCCTCTTGGGATCCTTGTGGGTGCCCAGGTGGGGAAGGGGCAGATGGAAGAGTGTGACTCTACCAGTGTCAATCTTCCAGGAGAGGCAGGACACAGCTTTGGAAGTGGACAGGTGGAAAGGAGTTGCCCGTCTTCCGCACCCCTCTTCAGGGTCTAGACCCCGGTGAGGTGGTATCTGGTCATCCCAGGGCGGCCTGTAAGCCCAGGCAGTGAACCTCAAGCACCCCTGTGCTTCCACCTCTGCATCCCTGAGACTCGGAAGAGCCTGTGAGAGAACCTACACTGGCCTCCACCGGCTGCGGCTGTGAGGCAAGGGTCCTGTGGTTAATGGTAAAGGGTCAGTATCCTCTGAGGTCATTTCAGGAACCCACTTATTAGCAGGAAAACTGGGGGAGGGAGGAATCTCAGGAGCCAGGCATTCAGGGCCTGGTGGGCCCTAGGGAAGCTGGGTAAGGCTTTAGGAAGGCCATCGGGTGGCCAACCTAGACAGCCACTTGGCCTTACAGCACAGAAAACAGTGGTTTTCTGAGTCTAGAGAGAACAGTTTCGACAGAGGTCTGAGTATTTGGGATCTTCTGTGTTGAGGTTTGAGGGATGTTGGAGACACATCTTGACCCTCAGGCTCTGGTAAGCACCACCAAGTTGCTGTGTTACAGGGGAGGGAGTGCCATAGCCGGGTGGTACCTGGTGAGCCAGGGTTGCGTGTTAGCAGAGCAGCTGGCAGGGTAAACAGCAGTGGGCAGAGAGTCCGTTAGCCCTACAGGACGCCAGGAACCAGGCCCAAGTGGGCAAGCCCTAGCTTTTCTGCGACCGGTGAGGGTGGGGGCAGTAGGCCACCTGCCGGACAGCCATATGCCCCGTGCCTCTCTCCCACCACCCCCGACCTCAAGCAGAGGTCAGTCAGGTGCTGACCAAGCATTCCCTGGGTCCTGATGGGGACAGGTGAGGCTCACTGGCCTGTGTTCTCATCTCCAGATTTCCTATATCCTGGCGTTTTGTCAGGACATCTGTCTTTTATCTCTGCCCCTGGCAGAGAGGTGCTCTGACTGCTTTTTGGAGGGTCCTGTACTCCTATCTCTGCTGTCCCCCCAGGGTAGTGCTGGGCCACCTCGCAGAGCCTTGCATAACTATCAGGTCAGTCTAGAGACCGGTGTCTAGAAAGCCTGCCTCCTCAGTGCCTGCCTTGTAATTCTAATCATGGGGAGTTTTACTTTGAAACATCGTTTAAAAAACAAAAAGGCTGGAGATCAAACAAAAGCATCCTTTCCAGTCATGGAAGGAAAACTGTGGCCAGCCTGTTTGCCTTCCTGTTCCCTTGGAGGGAACAATGGAGAATAAAGGTTCATTAAGTTTTTTGACCATATGTAGGTCCCAAAGAAACTCTGATCAGTTGGGTTCTCTGTCTCCACTGGCCGATGGGTGCCTGGGCAGGGCACCCATCCTCCCTCTCCCACCTCTGTCCCAAACTCACATGGTTCAAACCATGGCTGTTCCCTGGTTTCATCATCCATGGGGGGCTCATCATAAAAGATACCTTTAACAGCCACATTGAACAACTTTTATTAAATATTTCATTTTTATTTAGAGCACATTTCAGCACCAAGCAAAAGCTTGTTTTAAGAAACTATTCGTCCTCCTTACCTTTGAGTGTCCCCCTGTGTGTCCTGTCAGTGTCAGCAGGCACATCAGAGTAGACCTTCAGAAGTCCTTTAGAGGGGAAGAAATAAAAAGGAAGTTCCAATCTGAAATGCCTCTGGTGAGGTAGGATGCTTTCTGGGGCTGCAGTCTAACCCAGGAGCCTGTCACATCCTCAATTGCTCCCTTCAGAGCAGCTGAAGGACTGAGCAGAACAGGCAGGGAAGTGCCCACAGCCAGCCTGCACGGCAGTGGCCCCACAGTCACTCCCATGGAGCAGGGTTAGTGAGGACCACGGCACTGCCATCACCTGGGCACTGCCTCAGGTGGGCTGGGAGCAGGGCTCCTGGGCACCAGGTGACAGAGCTGAGGTGGCTCTGTGAGAGCCATATTACAGCAAGCTTAAGACCCAGCTGCCCCTCAGTGTATTTCTTCCAAGTCTTCCTGGTAGTGCCAGAGACGCTGCAGACCCTTCCTTCTTGGGCACACGGCAGGTTTTTGCGTTTGTCCTCTGCTTCTCTGGGTCCCTGTGGCCACTCTCCTTTTCTCCCTGCACCGGCCCAGGTCCAGGAGTGTGCTCTCCCTGGGGCTCGTGGGCCTTGAACTGCTCAGTCGCAGGCAGGTGATTTGGCTTGGTCACTGCACTTGTTCAATGTCATGGCTGTGTGGCATTGCCGGCTGAGATTCAGTTGCAAACAGCCATCTCATTGGTTTCAGCAAATGATGTCTGTTATGCTGTCCCAGAAGGAGACGTTGGAACACTTTTTGGTCCTTGTTCAACTTATTATTCTCATAATCGTGAAAATACTTTTTCTCTTGATTTGTCTCCATTTCAGGGAAATCGAAACATGGTATCCATTAAAAATTCATATTTTGAGAAGCCTGGGAGTCATCTGGACTGTCCCAGCCCCCCTCAGCACTCCATAAGCCCATAGAGTCTATGCCTCCCCCAGACATCCAGGAGTCCCTAGCCCTGCACTGTAGGCTGGGCACTCACCCTCTGCCTGCACCGTGGCCATAGTCCCCTGCTTGGTCCTCCCGCTCTGTCCTAGCTGCCCCCACTCCTCTCCTCACCCCTCCCAGAGGGATCTTTCAAAGCGCATCCCTGTAGGCATCCAACCATGGGCTCTTCCACCCAGTGCCCGCCCTTTAGGACCATCCTGCCCCACCCAGTGCTCACCCTTCAGGACCTTCCTGCCCCTCAGCTTTTCCAGCCTCATTCTCATCATTTACTGCTTGTGACTCCAGCTTGGTGGTGGGAGCCGGTGGCGCCCCACGCTTTCTTGGGCCTCTGAGCCAGCAGTGCGCCTCCTCATCATCTACCTAGACAGCCCCACCCCATTCCAGGCTTGACTGAGCCCTTTGAGCCAGCTGGGGGTGGGACCTGTCCCCTCTTGTTTCTGTGCCCTTCTACCTGACAGCCTGGTGGAAAAAGCTGTCAGCAGGTGTGTGGTGAATGGAGGGTGGGTGGGTGATGAATGAAGTGGGGAGCTGCCCACCCACCCTGCAGGTTGGACACAGGCCTCCCACCGCCTCTGAGTCTCGCATCTCATGGTCAGGGCCAGGCTGCAGTGGTGATGTGTTCTGCTTCCCCCTTGAGCTGTAAGAGCTAGTGTGCATGCTGCCATGTTTCTTTACTATGTGGTGATCAAGGAAGCATCGGTTAAGAGGTGGCCACCCGGGCCTGGGTCCCAAGTGACTGTGTAAGCAGACCCCACTGCCAACCTGCACTGGGCACAGCAAACTACAGTTGCAGTTTTTGTTAGTGCAGTGTTACCAGTCCTGTCCTGACTGACACAGAGCCTTGCCCACCACCACCACCGACCTGGGCGTGGCTCCGCTTTCCCTCTCTCAGAGAGAGGGGCCACCACCTTCCTGGCTGCTCAAACCAGAAACCTGGGAATCCTCCACAATCTCTCTCCCTCAGCCACCCGCAGCCTGTGAGTCAGCACACCCATGACAGGTGCCTCGTCGGGTCACAGACCCATCCACTCCTGATTCCCACTCCACTCGCTTAGGCTTGACTATCGCCCTCCTGCCTGCACCCGTCTGGTTTCCTCCCACCTATGTTTGTTCCGTGTCCCCTCCAGAGGACACAGTTCGCACTTTAGTGATTTATCAGTTAATTGTCTGTTTTCCTCAGTAGGCAGTAAGCTGTGGAAAAGCAGATTGTGGCGGGAACAGATAGTCAGGGGAGGGGCACCTTGGCTGCCAAGTCATAAGCAGACAGCATCAGGAGGACAGATTGGCCCATTTGGCTCACATCTGGGTGAGCCTTGTTCATTTGTACTGGGAAGATTCCTCTGTCCCTTAAGCAAATGGAAAGGGGGGCAGCTATAGTCACAGACAGCTGCAGCTTCACTTTGTCCCTCCAGTGACCCAGAGCAAGCAAATGGCTCCTCTCATTTGAGTATATGTGAATCTGAGGGAAAGTTCTGATTGGTCAGGCTGGGTCATGTGCCCACCCCTACAGAGGGGGAGAGGTGGTCCCAGAGGAAGTGAGGAGGGTTCTGCCCATCTGCCTTTTGCTGAGTACTCACCTGCCACTAGTGTGTTAAGCACCTTGAGAAAACAGGCCTCCCAGAAAGGGCAAAGAACTTCTTCAGAGTAGTGTCAGGATTTGAACTCACAGTGGTGGTGAGACCCCTGTACTATCCCTTCTCTCACATGGGGTCTTGCAGCTGGTTTAGGGTTGGGCTGGCACCTCAACCCCAGTCCTGACCCCACTGCTGGGTTCCTCTCCATCAACCACGGCTGGTTGTGAGGAAGCAGGATGGATGGGATCTGAGCCAGCATCTGCTTTGTGTGTACAGGGAACTACGGCCTCTCCAGCGTGCTGCCCAGCGCCCCTGACATGGCACAGTTCAAGCAGGGAGTGAGGTCTGTTGCTGGAAAACTCTCCGTCTTTGCCAATGGAGTCATGACTTCAATTCAGGTCAGTGAAACAGGGATGGTACTCAGAGTATAATGATCGTTCATCATTTTGAAAATGAGATTTAGCCCACTTTTCAGTTGCTGGAAAATTAGATTGTGTCTTATTTGATCTGTGTGTTTGCTACAGTATAACCCAGGACATTATGAAAATCAGAAATTACAATTTTATACTTGTTTAAAATTTTCTAATTTATAACTCTAGAGGAATCGTTATATGAATTGTCATGGTCATTATCTAATTTTTTTCTAAAGTAGAGTAGAAAAGTATTAGAAAAAACTTTAAATTATCCATAATCTCACTTTATAGGAATACGTTCTGTTAATATTTTGCTTTATATTTAGTTCTAGCTTTTTTTTTTTTGAGACAGAGCCTCAAGCTGTCCCCCTGGGTAGAGTGCCGTGGCTTTACAGCTCACAGCAACCTCCAACTCCTGGGCTCAAGCGAGTCTCCTTCCTCCGCCTCCCAAGTAGCTGGGACCACAGGCGCCCGCCACAACGCCCGGCTATTTTTTTGGTTGCAGCCATCATTGTTGTTTGGCGGGTCTGGGCTGGGGATTCGAACCCGCCACCTTAGGTGTACGTGGCTGGCGCCTTAGCCCATCGAGCTATAGGCGCCGAGCCTAGTTCTAGATTTCTAAGCAGATCTAAGAAAAAGAAAAAAGAGATTTTTTTGAGGCTGAGTCTCACTCTGTTGCCCAAGGTAGAGTGCTGTAGTGTCATCATAGCTCACAGCAACCTCAAACCCCAGGGCTCAAGCAGTCCTCCTGCCTCAGCCTCCCTAATAGCTGGGACTACAGGCACCCACTTCCATGTCTGACTGATTTTTCTTTTCTTTTTTTTTTTTTTTAGAAACAGAGTCTTGTTCTTGCTCAAGGTGGTCTTGAACTGGGCTCAAGCTTTCCTACTGCTACAACCTCCCAGAGTGCTAGGTTACAGGCACAAGCCACTGTGCCTGGCCAAAAATTAGACTTCTAAGCATATCTTTCTATACCTATCTTTTTATAATTAAAAAGGGTCTGTCTTGTATATTGGTTTTATATCCTACTTTTCTCTATGATGTTTGAGCATGTCCACATACAGTACAACCTCCGTACCCAGGGGGCTATAGCAACCTGTTCCACATCTGGAGGTGGTCTACATAAGGAACCAGGCATGCTGTACTGATAGGTATATGTGGTGCATATCCAGTTACGAAAATTAGGTCAACTCAAGGATGTGGTCAGTGTAGAGAGGTGATCAACTGTGGAGGTTCTACTGTAATTAAAAATTCTGGGCTCGGCACCTGTGGCTCAAGTGGCTAAGGCGCCAGCCACGTACACCTAAGGTGGCGGGTTCGAATCTAGCCTGGGCCCACCAAAACAACAATGATGGCTGCAACCAAAAAATAGCCGGGCATTGTGGCGGGTGCCTGTGGTCCCAGCTACCTGGGAGGCTGAGTCAGAAGACTCGCTTGAGCCTAGGAGTTGGATGTTGTTGTGTGCTGTAATGCCACGGCACTCTACCCAGGGTGACAGCTTGAGGCTCTGTCTCAAAAAAAAAAAAAAAATTCTGGGCAGCACCTATGGCTCAGTGAATAGGGCGCTGGCCCCATATACCAAGGGTGTCAGGTTCAAACCTGGCCCCAGTCAAACTGTAACAAAAAATAGCCGGGCGTTGTGGTGGGCACCTGTAGTCCCACCTACTTGGAAGGCTGAGGCAGGAGAATCGCCTAAGCCCAGGAGTTGGAGGTTGCTGTGAGCTGTGACTCTACAGCACTCTACCAAAGGGCAATAAAGTGAGACTCTGTCTCTAAAAAAAACAAAACAAAACAAAAATTCTCCTAAAACATATTCTGTTAAGTCAAAATATAGAGAAGGGAAGATAGGACATACTTGCGTACACAGAAGCCTGGTTCTCGTTCCTTATTGTCTACATCAGTGGTTTTCAGCCAGGGTGCTGTGAAAATTTTTAAAGATCATTAATTAGACTCCACACCTGTGGCTCAAACAGCTAAGGCGCCAGCCACATACACCTGAGCTAAGAGTTCGAGTCCAGCCTGGGCCCGCCAAACAATGACAGCTAAAACAAAAAATAACCGGGTGTTGTGACAGGCACCTATAGTCCTAGCTACTTGGAAGGTGGAGGCAGGAGAATCGCTTGAGCCCAGGAATTGGAGGTTGCTGTGATCTATGATTGCATACCACTCTACCCAGGGTGACAGCTTGTGACTCTGTCT